GGGGGCGACCCTCCCCCAACCAACCAGCCAATCAATCAATCAATCAATCAATCAATCAATCAATCAATCAATAAATAAAAAAAGCTCGGTGGCATCATTTTTTTTCTTTTTCTTTTTTCATTAATCAATCAATATGATACTTCATTCAGAATTACTTGGGCCCGGTGTGTTCAACGATGATATCTGGAGCGAGGTCCCACTAGCAATTCGCAGCCAGGATGGCTGTGTATAGATAGATGTCTTTTGTCGTTTAGCGGCCGTTTTCCGTATGGGGAATGTCGTCGACCGGGTAAACGAGTGTAAAGAGCGTCGTTGCGCGATTAAAAAGGTTGCGGTCGCCAACCGGGCACCGACCGGTAGTCTTGTGAGGGAACGCGGCGGCGGTCGTGGGAAATGGTGGTGCGCGTCTGGTCGTTCGGCCCTTTCTACTATGGGAAAGGTTTTCATGATTCTCTGACCGTTCGTTCTCCACCGAGATCGAGGGACCAGATTTTTTTTTCGTTTTGCAAAATATGGCAATGTTTCTGTCCTCATTCTAGGGGAGTGTACTAGTCCTGTGCTGCTAGGTGCCGGCTACCGTAGTCCCCTCCGATGCACCTGTGTAGGCAAGTATGGTAGAGACGGCCGGGCTCGCCAGGTCCTCGATGCAGGCAAGTATGTCTCTCTACCGAGGGACTACTGAGGGCATATAGTCTCCACCTGGGACTGGTTTGTATGAGCTCGGCGGTTCCCCCGCCGTCCTGGCTGCGCCCCCACGCCATGCGTGGTATCAGTAGCAAAGGGGATTGGATAAATATCCTGAATCTGGAAAAGCAGTTCAATCTCGACATTCTGCACCTTTCCACAAACACGTCCAGATTCAGGTCTTCAATCCTATCCTCTTCGCTAGTGAAACCTCACTGAAGGCCGTCGCCCTTCAAAAAGGGAAACAAAAACTTCAAAAAAAAAACAAAATGGAAACAAAAAGAAGGAAAGGAAAGGAAAGGAAAGGGTTGGAAAGGATTGGAAAGGAAAATGTCGAGTGCATATTCACTAGAAAAGCGGCGAGATACTTGGTCCACTATTCATAGTGGCCGATTTATCCTGCCAGCTTGGCGGCCTTGTGCACCCACTAATTTTTTTATTTTTATTTTTTAATAACTAGGCTATATTCTTCTCTCAAACCTTTCATCATCTTTCAAATTCTTTCAATTCACCTTGAGCATGGTCCCACTAGCAACGGGATAGGATAGAAACGAGTTTAAGGGACAGTTGAGTGACCCAAATCCTGCCGTGTAGTACTCGTGATCCCACGGTCAGTATTTTACTTGTATTACCCGAAAAGGTAAGGAGATCGTCGTTCCTCCTCCTCTCCTTAACACTGGGCATGCCGGTGCAAAGGAAGCTTCCCGCCAAAATCTTTTCAATCCGTTGGGGTATGGCCAACCCCAAAGAGAGTGCGGTCGGCCATAGGCCCACTGGATAGAAGATTTTCAGTATTTTGCTTGCTGTTGTGCAATTATCTCATTGGGTGGAGCCTTCCTTCAATCAGGGAGTAGATATATGGAGGGGGTCATGATCACTGCTGACTGAAGTCGAGTTTATTCCAGAAAAAAAGGTGGCAGTTACTTTGTTCACTGTTGTTGCAACCACCACCATCAGATCATTGTGATCTGATGGCTGGGAAGCACTCTGCGGTGATTTCAGGTGGGAGGTCTCTGTTCCTTTTTTTTTTTGTTGCATTTCTCCTGTTTTCTTGCCCCAGAAATTCGTAATGAACTCACTTTTTTTTCGGTCAAGAGGAGCTTGGCTGCCATCTACACTCACATGAGGAGGTTTTTTTTTTTTTTTTTTTTTAATAAAGAAAAAGGGCGACAGTCTTGAGATATATCCACAGGCGACCGGCCCTGGGTAATTCGAGATTGTTATGGAAGTTATTATTGTAGATTATATGTCATGATCATGACTTATTGAGCTTATGTTGTGATAGGTATGTTGAGAGTTTTTTTGCCTCTGGAAATATGGTGAAATTGCTTTTTTTTAAAAAAAAAGGGCGACAGTCTTGAGATATATCCACAGGTGACCGGCCCTAGGTAATTCGAGATTGTTATGGAAGTTATTATTGTAGATTATATGTCATGATCATGACTTATTGAGGTTATGTTGTGACAGGTATGTTGAGAGTTTTTTTGCCTCTGGAAATATCGTGAAATTGAGGGTCTCAACCCTGATAAGCATCGTAATTATGAATGTCAGCTATGATGATTCTGACTAAGAACTCAACCTGAGAGCTCTTTTATTGGATGTGTATTGGGTGTGTCCCGACCTGCCGCAGCAGGACCTGAGCAGCCACTTCCACTTGGCCCAATGCTCCCCTATTGCAGAGGGTTACAGGGCGGCACAACTCGCCCCAGCGAGTTACGAGTGTTGACTGGCCGTGGCCACCAATCCTTCAAGCCAGGCCACTGAAAGTGACGGCAACGGGAATAGAACCCAGCACCAACCCAGCACCTACGCGGTGCCGCTCAGGCATGAAACCTACTGAGCTAGCCGACGGGACCATTGTCGACTCAGCCCTGGACGTGATCGCGGCCTGATGCATCCACGTCCAGCCACAACCGCAATTACAAAAGTGCTGGGCAGTGTGAGAAAGCCCGTGAGGTCTGCCATCAAGGGTAAGCGATGGAGCGATAGGTAGGTCCAATAGCCAAAACTGATGAGGTACGGGTCAAAGAAGGTGGGAAACCTGCGAACGAATGTGACCGTAAATGAATCCAGATTCGGTCACAATACTCCTAACGAACGACCGAACGAGAAAAAAATTTCGAAGTGCGAGGAACGGCAGCGGTCACGGACAGGTGTCACCTCATCACAGCGCCACGTCAGCATCGCCACATCGTCGTTATCGACGCCATGGCTAGCAGCTTTTGCTTCGGCTCTTGTACGGCGCTGCTAGCCCGGACGGTGACAAGAGGCATAACGATCAAACGGCAATCTCCCATCAGGTCATGCATTGAACTTAGTCGTCGATCATCCACTGGCAGTTTCTCGAGGAGATGGAGCGGTCGCAGCGGGATTATCAGGGACTTCAACAAAAACTGCGCGGTTGGAGAAGGAGAGGAGGAGGAATCGAGGAGTGCATGGTTTGACAGACGGACAAGCCAACGTACGATCGCCACGTGTCAGCAGAGCAGGCAATCGCCAGGTTCGTCGAGAAGCGATGAAGCGAACGGCGAATCCTCCTCAGCAATGCCTCCCTCCTCCTCCACCTCCACCTCCACCTCCACCTCCTCCTCCTCTTCGTCCTCCTCAAGCGCAAGGGAAGAAGTAGAGAGAAGAGATAGAGAGCCATCCTCCTCCTCCTCCTCCTTCTCCTCCTCCTCCTCTTCCTCTCCTTCCTCCTCTTCCTTACCTTCTTCCTCTCCTTCCTCATCTTCTTCCTCTTCCTCCTCCTCCTCCTCTTCATCATTCTATTCCAGTACCGGAGGAGAGAAGTTGGCAGAGGGGCAAGAATCAAGGTATAGTCGATTGACGACGACGGTACCCATAGCTGCACTTCAGGAGGCGAAGGTGATTTACGCCATAGCTCCTGCTCTCGATCACAATCAGGAGGGGCATCCGGAGAGCAGTGCCAGGGTTCCAGCCATTCTCCAAGGACTAGAGAGAGCCCAGTTGATGCCAGATTTGAGAGGGAAGGAGGTGGTTTCTCTCAAGCACTTCCCCTCCGCTCTTCCTGATCAGATCTCCGCCGTCCATTCCCCAGGTTACGTCCGCGGTCTCGAGAAGATCATGGATATGGCTCCCACTCTCGTCGAGACCTCTGGTCCCACTTACATTACCCCATCATCTTACAGCTCAGCGATGCTCGCTGCGGGCGCCGGGATCTCATTGGTCGATGCTGTCGTGGCAGCAGCGTCTTCGCCGCGATCTGCCACGTCAGCAGATTCACTTTTATCAATGGATAGGGATAGAGTTGATGGGGTTACTAGTAGGAATTTGGTGGCGGGAACTTCTCCCGTCGGCTTCGCTTTGATCCGACCTCCAGGTCATCATGCTGTCCCTGTGGGTCCGATGGGTTTCTGCTTGATTGGAAATGTGGCCGTAGCTGCGCGCCACGCTCAAAGAGTCCATGGGCTGCCACGTGTCATGATCATCGACTTCGATGTCCATCATGGCAATGGCACCCACGACATGTTCTTCGAAGATCCCGACATTCTATTTTTATCCACCCATCAAGATGGGAGTTATCCCGGTACAGGAAAGATTGACGAAATAGGAAAGGGCAAAGGACAGGGCACGAGCATCAACCTCCCTCTCCCTGGAGGCTCTGGTGATTACGCCATGGACTTGGTGCTTGATGAGGTAATCACCCCTGCCGCAGAGCAGTTCAAACCAGACATCATATTGGTCTCCGCGGGGTATGATGCGCACTTCATGGACCCCTTAGCGGGACTGCAATTTACGTCCCGAACTTATCACAAATTAGGCAATCGGATTTCGGAATTAGCCAAGGTGTTGTGCAGAGGGAGGTGTGTGATGTTTCTAGAAGGGGGGTATAACCTGACATCTCTGTCAGAAAGTGTGTCAGAAACCGTCAGAGGAATACTCGGGGACAAGTCGGCGGATGAGTTCGACTCGCGATTGCTTGTAGAAGAGCCCAAGGATAGAATCCGTAGTGCTATAAATAGACTAAAGGCGATTCATTCCTTATAAAATACCTTTCTTTTTTTTTTTTTGGTAATAGGTTTTCGATTGTCATCTTAGCGGTTTGATCAGCTGAAATGAATTGTAGTAAAAATATTTGCTTTGATTGATTGATTGATTGATTGATTGCCGTCTTAGCAGCTGTTGATCGACTGAAAGTGGTTGATTTGATCGGTGCAGAGTAAGTGGATGCATTGATTGATAGAGTAATAGCGAGAGAGTAGGTTGTTTTGAGTGATGGAGATGCCGGGCCGGCAATTGATTGGGAAGAGGAGGAGGGGGAGAGGGGGGAGGGCGGGTGGCCGGGGTTGATTAGGGTCGGTCGAGGTCGAGTCAATTGATCGAACGAATTTGGCTGACCGATTCGTATTGCTAGCCTACCTTTTCTTTCGTTTTTAAAATCATCGGAAGCAAGCATGGGACGCGGATCGTGCGTGTTAAACATGAACCTCTTCTGCCCGCGCGCGCGCGCGCGCGCGCGCGCGCGCGCGAGAGAGAGAGAGAGAGAGAGAGAGAGAGAGAGAGAGAGAGAGAGAGAGAGAGAGAAAGAGGTTAATTCCATTCGATAAGGACAGGTGTGCGTGTGCGTAGGAGGGAAATCGCCCATAGAGGAGGGGGGAAATATGGGTGATGTTTGTACTGTATGACGTACGTGAAATAGGAATCCGAGAGAGAGAGAGAGAGAGAGAGAGAGAGAGAGAGAGAGAGAGAGAGAGGGAGGGAGGTTGATTCCATTCGATAAGGACAGGTGTGCGTGTGTGTAGGAGGGAAATCGCCCGTAGAGGAGGGGGAAAACATGGGTGATGTTTGTACTATATGAAGTACCTGAAATTGGAGTCCTTTCTTTGAGACAGAAGAAGGCATGCACAGAGGAAAAATAAAAAAAAAACACAGGACAGACTCATCCTTCGGGACATCACACCCGTCGGAATCTCCGTATCTGTCGAAATCTTGACTACCATGTCCTCATCTTCGTTTGTCTCTTCCTCCTCTTTATTTTTTATTTTTTATTTTTTTTATTAAACTACACTATGTTCTTCTCTCAAATTCTTTTTCGCCTTTCACTGCCTCCCTACCACTACTCCTAAGACTATATAGAGGGGACCCCTGCAAGCATAGGGCCTCGCAAACGAGGTAATTCATGTTGCCHCCCGCCCCAACAGCGGTAGTCAGAGATGGGGTGGGGCCGCCGGTGGGGTCCGGCTAACGCAAAGACCGAGCATTTTGCCAGTAGCTGCGCCTCCCTTTCTCATCGTCCCCCACCCCTCATCGAGTAGCAGCAGAGGCTATGGCCAACACTCTCCCACACACCACACACAACCCACTCGCGCTCACACTCACACCCGTGTTGGTCATAGACCCCGCTAATACCGATCAGGGGTATCCAGAGGACTTCCGTTGGCACTAAGTGTGCTGCAGGCGGCCCACGGGGCTTGAACCCACAACCTCCTGAATGCCACTTGCATGGCTAACCAACTCAGCTAGGCCGCTGGATCTCCTCCTCCTCCTCCTCTTTATCATGCACCTCTTCACCCCTTTTTCCTCGTCTTCCACGTTTTTTTTTTTTTCTGTCTTTCTTTCTCTCTTTGTTTTTTTTTGTTTTTTTTTTTTCGGACATGCACTTCGGTTTGCTCTCTCTCCCTAAAAAATAACTTTTGCAACTCTTCGTTCTCAACCTCCCACCAATTCCGCGAATACCCTTCCTACTCTTATGGCATTCTCTGATGATCATCAGCGTTGTGCCTAGAAACTTGATCTGTTTTTCTTTAATATATATATATATTCCTCTTCTCCCTCTCTGCCTACGGTTTACCGGGCAGTTCTATTTGTGACGATATATATATATATCGTCACAAATAGAACTGCCCGGTAAACCGTAGGCAGAGAGAGAGAAGTATATATAAAGTTGGGGGGGGGAGGGGGAGAGAAAAACGTCAGTCTGCTTATGGTATTTTCTGATAATCATCAGAATTAGCCACGTGGCCGCCTGACAGCCTCGCGTTCTCTTTCCTGATCTCATGACATCCCAACACGTCACGTGACGGATTCAGGCTGCTACTATCCTAAGTGTTGCTCTAATTTAAAAAAAAAAAAAAAAAAAAAAAAAAAAAAAAAAAAAGAAGAGGGGGTGGGAGCAGCATTCTTCAACCATCTCGTATGGCTCTTTCAATTACCAGCTAAGACAGCATTCTTCAACCGATTGGCATGTCTTCCTCATTATTGCCTCTCAATAGCTTACGAATGCCCTTGGTGGTTMAAAAAAAAAAAAAGGGGAAGAAATGTAAGTAAAGCAAGACGAGAACCTCCCCCCCCAAAAAAAAAAAATCAGTGGAAGAAATGAAAGTAAAGCAAAACGAGAACCCCCCCATCCTGCCACTTCATTTGGTCCCATTTCCCCACCCCTCCCTTGCATTTTTTCTCACCCTGCCACATGGCAGCCGTGATGCAGCTTCCCCTGCTTGGGTCGGTACTCTGTCACGAGCTTCATCTATTCTACAAATAGTCCTGCAACATCTGCAGCTCTGCGCATTCTGAACAACCTTTTACCATTTATAGATAGATAGATAGATAGATAGATAGATAGATAGATATGGGTATATATAGATATAGGGCGTCGTTAGACACTCCTTGGGGACGTGAAATCCACAAGGACGCGCTCATTCCACCTGTCCTTGGGGACGAAATTGAAAAAGAAATGTGAAAACGCCACAAGGAAAATTCCTTGTGGCATCCTTGTGGCCCCAGCCATTTCTTCCTTGTGCCCAAGGGACCTCATGAGGTCCCTTGGGCACAAGGACTCTGCGTTTCACGAAGAGGAGAGGGCACACGGGTAGATAGACGTTACAGCTGAGAATCTGAATCGTGGTGGCACCCTATTGGCTGAAGGCCTGAAGCACAACTGTTTTTTTTTTTCTTTTTTCTTTTTTTTTTCTGACATCAGGCTTAGGAAATGTCCTCGGGCGACATCCCCGAGGACAGGTGGAACGAAGAGCCCAAATTCCCTTACGAGCCACAAGGAAAATTCCTTGTGGCGCAAGGAACTCGTAAGGAGTGTCTAACGAGGCCCATATAAAGGGGGGGGGCGAAGAGGGGAGGGAAAGCTCAGAGTGATCGCTTGCAAGAGTACCATCAGGAGAACCTGATATGATGTGTCTCTTCGGTATAAGAACCACGTGGAACCGACGTTCACCCTTACCTGTTAAACCACATGGCTGCTCTAGCAATATGCTTCGCAGTGCGAACGGAAAGGACTGTAGATTGCTGTTTCCCCCATAAGTTAACTACCCCTTCGCAACCTCAGCTCAGGATTGGTGCCGCTGGTTCTTTATTCATGGAGCTGCAATCAAAAGGCTGTTGGAAAACTTGCTTTTCACCCTCCACGTTTCTTCCTCGGAGACCTCATGTTCTTTTCCACAACCCCTTCTCATACTTTCTGTTCCCCGACGAACCCTTGCAAGTTGCAACAACTGTGCTTATTTTGCTATTTTCTTTTCTAAGGGTTGTACGACGTAGACATGAAGAACCATTTTTTCTCTGCTCTTACTTCCTCTTGGTAGGCATAGGAATTATCTAACCTCTCTACTCGACCATCAACGGCAACCAACCAAAAAAAAAAAAAAAAAAAAAAAACAAGAAAGAAAAAAAGAAAGAAAGAAAGAAAGAGGAGAGAAGGTGATAGGACGACAAGAAGGCTGTCTCTTATACACATCTAGATGTGTATAAGAGACAGTGTATTACCCGAAAAAGTAAGGAGATCTTTGTTCCCCTCCTCCTCTCCTTAACACTGGGCATGCCGGTGCAAAGGAAGCTTCCCCCCCAATCTTTTCAATTGGTTGGGGCCCTTGGGGGTNTTTTTTTTTTTTTTTTTTTTTTTTTTTTTTTTTTTTTTTTTTTTTTTAATTTAAAGCCCAGGTTAATCACGGGGAAAATTACAGTTACCGCTGTGCCTCTCAAGCTTCATGAGATGGTCCAATGCATCCTTTGCATAGGACAGATGCTTAAGTCGATGCTCAATTTTCGTTCCCACTTTAGCAGGGATGAAACTCACTCCTCTTCTATGAATGCATTCATCTGCATCATAATGATTTGGTCACACTACTTACGGTATGAATATTGCTACACTCGTATTTTGGATGTTTTGTTAGCATCACTTCTGGTACGAACGCTGCTAGGCTCGGTTTTTGGGATGGCTAGCTCTTCCTTGCGTGTTCTCAACTCAGTCATTTTGATGACCTGTCTTCCAAAACAAAAACAACAAAACAAAAAAGAAGTCGGAATGAGAAGGGGGGCAGAAGAAAAAGAAAGGAAGTACTCAAAGTAGAGAAGGGCAGGATAGGATTCATAACAACTCCATTGCTTTGAATGAGACTCATGTTCTTAAGATGACACTCAATTCTCCCACCCTAGCAAGGATGAATGCATGATTTGGTCACACTACTTCTGGTATGAATATTGCTACGCTCGTATGGATGGCTACTTCCAGCTCTCTTCCTTGAATAACTCTCACAACTCAGTCTTTGATATTCAGCCCATGAATGCTTTCAGAGTCTCACACTCATTTCGTAGAATAGGATTGGATGATGGTCCCTCATGGAAATGTTACCCCGACTCAGTCTCCTCTCTTTTTTTTTCTTTAAAAAAAAAAAAAAAAAAAAAAGCCGCCTTCAGTGGTAGTGGTGCTGGTAAGAGCAGACACCACTAGCACCTGGGGGGAGGCTCCATCTATTGGTGGGGAGCGTCACCTGCTGGAAAACGGTGTCAACCTCCTTCTCACTCAGAATCTATCAATGTTGTGCAGATGGATCCTATGCTACAAGCCTATCTTGCTGCCTCTGGCCCCCTTTCTCTCGCCGGAGGTGACATTCTTGCTGTTCTCCCTTTTCTTCCCCCTACCTTCACTCCCGCTCGCATTCTCGAATGCCTCAACCCCCGAGTCCAAGAAATGAGCCATCTCCTCTTTCGCGTGCAACCACTCAATTCCCCTCAGCCTTTCAGAGTGCACGTCAATGCCATCAGGATGAAACCTTTTCCTTTCCCACCTCTCCCGTCTCAACCACATCCTTCCACTGCAGCTCCCGATCCAACCGCAGCCTCCT